CTCATTTTAAAACCTGAAACTTGTTTGAAACTCAAACCCAGTCTTAAAACCCTGTCTTGATACCATAATTCAAACTTGAGACCCTACCCAGTCTTCCAGCCTTACTTTAAAACCCTAACATTGTGTGTCGTGGAGGCTCACGCAGCAGCGTGGCACACGTACGACCGCAACTACCGACGGCGGCAAGGTGGCCGCGTGTCCATGGCGCTGGCGTCTCACTGGGTGCGTCCAAGGCGGATGCGCGCGGAGAGCCTGCGAGAGTGCCAGTGCTCACTGGAGCACGTGCTGGGCTGGTTCGCCGGGCCGCTGTTCGGCGACGGCGACTACCCGGCCTGCATGAAGGCCCGCCTGGGCGCCAGGTTGCCGGCCCTGGGCGACGAGGAGCGCCGACACCTCCGGGGCACGGCCGACTTCTTCGCGCTGTCTCACGGCGCCACCCTCAGCTTCCAGCTTGTCAACGACAGCCTCAAGTTCGGCCAGCAGGAGGAATTAGACCTGCGAATGCTCCTCTACTGGGTCAGCGCCGAGTACAACTGGCCCGACATCTTCGTGGTGCAGAGCGGATGGTAACAGATAAGACGGAGCTATAGATAAGGGCAAAAATTAAAGTAACGTCACGTGTTCCACATGTGTGTTCAGGTTCGTGTCAAGCAGCACCAAGACTCAGGACCCCAAGCACATGTACTACTTGAAGAGGTTCATCGCGGAGGCTCTCAAATGTGAGTGACGGCGCGCGCCGCGTCTTGCGTGTCTCATCATCACACATATGTGGCGGGTGGCGCGCGCAGCCATCGCCGTGGACGGCGTGAAGGTGGTGGGCTACACGGCGTGGTCGCTGATGGACGGCTTCGAGTGGCACCGCGAGTGCGGCATCAGGCGGGGACTTTACTACGTCGACTTCAACACCCCCGACATGAAGCGAGAGCCCAAGACGTCGGCCACCTTCTACAAGTAAGTGTGTGTGTGTGCGTGTGTGTCAGAGCTTGACACGGCAGATGCGCTGAGTCATCATCATTTCTTTTGGTCAGCACTACATCTCATTAAACATTCACATTCTCGTTCATGACCTTCTTCAGTTTTGTGTCATGTGTGTCGCGTTTGTCGACTAAGTCACGTCTCTTGTATTGTTCTCGTTAGCATTGATGTTAGTCAATTGCCAATAGAAACGTGATCCAGAGAAACGGGTTTCCGGAGCTTCCGGAGAACCGACCTGCTCAAGGAGTTTTCCCGTGTGACTTTGCTTGGGGGGTCTCCGCCAATTCCATCCAGGTCAGTGAGGCACTCAAAGGTTCATCATTTCCTGAATCAGCGTTGAACATTAACTTTTGTTAGTTGTATTTGGCAGGGCAGACGAGTTTTGTTTTTGTTGCGAAACACGTCGTTTTCTGACAGTCTTTTTTTTTGTTTTTACTTCAATTATACTCTGTTTTATGAGAAACACACCTATTTGCTCTTTTTATGCTCAAGTCAAAGCTCTGTGTAATATGAAAGTAGTGCTTTGGCGCCATCTTGGTCCAGTCGTTACCACTGCCTAGTAGAAAAATTGCTTGGCCACCATCTTTAGCATCTATAGGCAGTTATACAGGTACATCATCTTGATCCAGCCGTTACCACTGCCTAGTAGAGAAATTGTTGGCCGCCATCTTTAGCATCTATAGGCAGTTATACAGGTACACCTTTTTAAGGGTTGATTTTCAGAATGTGCCACAGGGCTCCATCCCCATCCCCTGCAATTTGTGCGTACGTGTTCTTCCTGCATTTATGGGACAGGTGGAAAGCTCTCCCAGTCAGTTTGCGGACCCCAATGTGTACGTGTGGAACATGGACAATGGTGAGCTGACCCGACTGGAAGGCCAAGTGGCGCCACCTACACACCGCAACGCGCACTGCGCCGACTACGTTAGCATCAGACAGCAGGTGATGCGCAGCTGTGTACTCTATAACAAGAAGCTTTAGCGCCCATTGACGTCAAAAGCGATTGGTTCACTTCTCTTGTCCCATGTAAATCCGCTTCAATTCCAAGCGCCGACTCTCAGTTGCAAATACGCATCGGTGTTGCGCGCCAGCGCCATCTACGACAACCTTACATGTGTGACGTAACATTTACTGCTTGTTAACTGCTCGTTGTATCAGGTGGATGAAATCCAGGCAGTGGGTGTGAGCCACTTCCACTTCTCCCTCAACTGGTCTGCGCTGGTGCCGGCGGGCGACGTCGCGCGGCCCAACGCCACCCTCCTGGGTTACTACCGCTGCTTCAGCCACCAGCTGCTGCGCGCCAACGTCACGCCCGTGGTCACCCTGTGGCACCACACGCGCCAAGGCAGCAGTCTACCGGCGCCCCTCGACAGCCCCAACCGGTGGCTCAATAGGTACCCGACGAGTTCCCGTGATGCAGCACTGTTGGAAGAGATGTGAAGGTCTGCGGTTCAATCGCGGATTTCAGCACATGACATCAGATCAAGGATGTTCGTTGATTGTCGTGTTCCGCTCAGGGAGACGCCGGACTTTTTTGCCGACTACGCGCGCTTGTGCTTCCGTGAGTTGGGCGAGCACGTGAAGATGTGGATCACGCTCAACGAGCCCAACGACGAGATGGTGAGCTACCAGGAAGCTCATCAGATGCTGCGAGCCCACGCGCTCGCCTGGCGCGCCTACGACCGAGAATTCAGGCCCTCTCAGGGTGGTCAGGTCAGTGCCCCGTCCGGGCCCGCCCAGGCACGTAACGTTCCAGTCTTCACATGCGTGTTGTTGTCAGGTGTCTCTTGCCCTGCACATGGACTGGGTGGAACCAGCCTTCTCCTTCAGCCGCGAGGACGTGGAGCCTGCCAAGAGGGTTCTCGACTTCCGGGTGGGATGGTTTGCCGAGCCGATCTTTGGAAGCGGAGATTATCCTCTGGGAATGAGGAGCTGGCTGCGACAACTCAACTCACTCGAGTACACGTTCAATGCAAATCGGCCTACACTGCGAAGAGAAGGGTGTGATGGGCATGTTTATGATGAGGCGACACACCAAAAGAATTTTGAGAAGCGATGCTTGAAAAGACACATGAAGTCCGCCGTGCCATTTGAGGCTCACTTTCAAGGACAAACTTGAGATTTTGCTACCAAGTTTGAATCTTGCATTGTCGACGGACAGACAACGCAAAGACTGAGTTTGGTGTTTGGTTCGGTTGCAGACTTCCGGTGTTCAACAAAGACGATCGTCAGCTGGTGAAGGGCACGTACGACTTCTTTGCCATCAGTCACTTCAGCACTGAACTGGTGACGCACGCCAAGGAGGACCCGTAAGGGCAAACGCGCCGCCGTTTGACCGGCATGCCGCCGCCCGCCACGTGATGCCCGTCTGCTGCGTCCGCAGGTACACGTACATGTCCGAGCTGGAGGTACAGCACATGGTCGACACCACGTGGATCAAGTCGCCCCGGCCCGTGGTACCGTGGGGCCTGAGGAAGGCGCTCAACTGGGTGAGGCGACCCCTCTTTGACCCCACCTTGGTCTTTAATTGAACGTTTACATGATTGATGCATTAGAGTCAAACTTTTTGCCTGATCCTGAATGAAATTGCAGGTCAAGGAGCACTACCCACGCGTGCCCGTCTACGTGATGGCCAACGGCGTGCAGGAGGACCCGGCCCGCTTCAAGGATAGCCTGAGGGTCTTCTACGTGTACAACTACATCAACGAGGCACTCAAAGGTGACGTCACCACCCGTCTAATGATTACACTGGACTGAGGTCGCTGGCCGCCGATGCAAACATAAACACGTTGACGTCAGAGTCGTTGAACTCTGGTCGGCCGCACTCAACCTGAGCGTGTGAGCCACGGGGGTATCTTCATTTCTCCAGTTTGACGACACGAAAGGGAGTTTTTCCGCCATAATTAGGTCTTTACATTACATGGGAGCTAAATTGAGTTATATGGAATTTTTTTGCATTTTGTTGGTAAATTTTAGTCTTACTGTGGTAAAATAAATTGCTGCCTTACATGAAGTCATTCACAATCAGCCCACGTTAAAAAAAAAAAATGGACCTTTGACATCCATAGCTGTCAAAGTACGTTAAATGATACTTGACTATCGTGTGCGGTACATCTTTAAGATTGTTTGTGGGATATTTGGCTCATTAATTGTGCATCCGTTACGAATATTTGACGATAAATATGGACTGATTTTGCCGGCAGCGTTCACCCTGGACGGTGTGAATCTGAAGGGCTACTTCGCGTATGCCCTGAGCGACCAGCGCGACCCGGGCTTCGGCCTGTACGGCCACGTGCACGAGGAGGCGGTGGTGAAGGCATCGCTGGCCAATTATCGTAACATCATCCGCCACAACGGCTTCCCTGTGCAGGGGGCGCCCGCCCAGCGGTGCCCCCTCGCCGCCCGGCCCTGCCCGGGCTGTCAGGCTCTGGCCAAACGGCCCGTGGTGGGCTTCCTGACGCTGCTGGGCTCAGCCACGCTTATCACGCTGGCTCTTGTTGTCTACTACGCCTCCAGGAGGCACAAAGATGCTTACTGATGACTGACCGTCTAACGTGTGTTTTGCATTTAGTAGCTTCTAGAAGCACTTTTTTTCGTGACCAAAAGTTTATTGCAGTAATGTTCTTGTGTTCTCATGCACTTTTTTTTTTTTTTTTTTTAGGGTTAAGCCCGTTTCCACCGAGCACTACACTTTGATAGTCTCTCTTCAGTGTTTCAAAAGTTACCCAAGGTACCAAAGTAAATCATATGTACCAAATTTTTGGTAGCCTATAGTTGGGGGTCACTCACCTCCGGTTACGTGAACAAGAGCTGAAAAATACCGTCGAGTACTGAAATAATTGATGACCAATTTGCACCACTTTACAGTACCCCAAAAAGCAGCAAACAAAATCCAAGAAAGAAAAAAAAAGTATGAATTAATTTTCAAGATAAAACATTTTTTGGGGGAAGTGAAGACGAATGAAGTGACAATGACTTGCACTGATATGCAAAGTTACAAATAAGTTACTGCTTTTTTTTTTTTGTATCCTTTCCCATTTATTTGAACTCACTTTCATCATCAAGGTCAATCGCTCCCAGTTAAATTTGCACAACCACAACGTGGAACGTGTACACTGTCTCGGGTGCTCGGAGGGAACGTGATTAGCATAACTAGCTAATGAGCAATGGTGATTGTTTGTCATATGTTGTGTATTTGTGTCAAGTAAATAAACAGTCCAAAGAAGGTCAATAACGACAAGTCCTTTTAACGTTGACAGCGTCCACCCATCAGAACATCATGCCGTCTAGGCCGTCCTCCATGAACTTCTTGTAGACGGCCATGAACTTGGCGGTGAAGGCCTCCAGGTGGTAGATGGCTTTGTTGCCCAGCTGCAGCCGGTGCTCGTAGTACGCCGCCATGTGCGCCACCTCCGGCTTCAGGTGCCCGTCGCAGTTGTTCAGAAGCTCCCTCACCAAACCCTGCGAAGGACCAGGAAGAGCTTGTTAGGGTCAGGGTTCGTTATTTACATACATGGCAATGGCGAGTGATGAAAAAAGCGGAAGGGGCGTGGCCTGGACGGGGCGTGGCCTGTACGGGGGCGTGGTTACTTACAAAAGTGGCACTAAACATGCTGAAGATGAAGTGTATTAAATTTACACAGTTTGAAAATTGAACAGAAAAAAATCCCAAGATCGCCACTATTCTTTCAAGTGAAAATTTGTGCAATTTTGCCTATGCATTCCTGGTGAGCACCAATATGTAACTCCAAATTTGCTGCTAAAAATCAAAACAAAAAAAGTAAACACATCCCCTGCCATATTTAAGATTTGTTCATGACTTGTATTCATAAAGTGTTGTGTAAATGTGATAAAAAGCTGTTGATTCTTACCTCATACAGTGATAGTGAATATTTATTATGCATACAATTTATTATGCATAACCGTGCTTTATTATCCAAGACAAGAAGGACCAGGAAGAGCTTGTTAGGGTCAGGGTTCGTTATTTATTCATTTTAAAACAAATGTTTGCATGTGAAGCTCTGGCGGGGGACGGATATAAACATGGCGGGCCTTCAGTTTGAAATACCGCGATTCCAAAGGACTCACATGCTTTTTCTTGTGTGTGTACGTGTGGTACCGACCTTCATGATGATGTCAGCAGGGATGCAGTGAGTCAGCAGCTCGTACAAACGACCCCGCACCTCCAACAATCTGCTCCAAACGGGTTGAATGTTGAACTTTGGATTGTTTACAACATGACTTCAACATTTAGTCTTTCGTCTGCCCCTCCAGTGGCCAAATCTAGTTGTCCGTGATTTAGCAGCCCAATACAGCAATTGGCAGCCTTTCATGACGGAAAAAGATGTGTATTAAAATTTAACTTGGTACCAAAATAACCGAGCTGTATCATATCACCTTTTGCTATGAAATGTTGGGGGTTGTAATGCTAGCTTTTAATTTTTTTAAAGACCATTGGAGGGGCAGCGTGTTTCATAGTTTAAGAAAATGTCCGCCACCTGCGGCCCCTCCTACCTCTGCGGAGTCTGCTGGCTAACAATGTAGTTGGCAGTTTCCCGGAGAAACACCTCCCAATCGGGTTCTGTGACGTCCTGGTCCGCCGAGAAGGGGTACCTGAGTATCATATGTTGCAGACGTGTTAGACACATCATGTAAAATAAGAGACAACTTACAGAGTCAGACACATAAGACACAAAAGGATAAATATGAGACAAATAATGGAGTAAAAAAATAAATAAATGGAAGGGCACTCACTGCTGCACCCTGCAGGCCTCGCACATCAGCAGCGCTTTGCGGAGGTTGCGCCCGGACTTGTCGCTGATCCGTTTGGCCAACTCGGGAGGCAGGAGGAGACCTTCTTTCTTACACACCGACGTGAGGACGTTACATACCTGAGGGCAAACACACAAAGTCAACCCGGCCTGTTAATTCTGAGGGGGTAACAATGTACGAGATGATGTCAGTTACTCGCGTAGTTTCTTATTTGCGCAGCTATCCCGAATCAGAAAGCGCACGTATGACACAGACTCTGTCTCCGTGTTGTTACCTCCTCCGTACTGGGCAGCGGAACGCGAACGGCCAAGCAGCGGCTGCGTATGGGCCCGATGACCTTGGAGGTGGAGGTTGAGCAGAGCACCAGGCGGCAGGTGGCCATGTATTTCTCCATGGTGCGCCGCAAAGCGTGCTGGGCGTCCTTGGTCAAGCGGTCCACCTCGGTGAGCAGCACCACTGGTGAACAAAAAAAAAAAGCAGCAGAAGAAGAAGACGTCAAACGCATTGCGGGAGTCGAGCAATGCCTGAGAGTCTCACCTTTGAACTCTCGCTGCGTGCTGGCTTGGATCTGCTGAGACTGAGCCATGGTCTTGATCAGCTCCTGGATCACCACGCGGTCCTGGTAACCCGCATCGCTGTATGAACCATTAACACGTAAGTCTCAGGGTGTTGGGAATATAGCGGAGGCCGGAATATTTCCACTGTGATCCAAGCTATATTCAATTTTACATTGTCGCAATGTGATGGCATGAAAATGTAGACTCACATTGTTGCAGAAATGTGAGAAGTGTACTCATTTTTGTGATCTACTGTAAAAGTGATCGATTACCTGGGGTTGACTTCCAAGTGGTAGTTGCTGGCGATGGTGTTGATCTCAATCTTCTTCTTGGAGGGAGCCTACAACCAAGAACAACCTGCAAAGGTGAGCTCGCACTCTTGGATGTTTTCTTCGGGGACGGACACAATAATTAAAATAAAAAAATTGGATTGATTGATCTTCTCACCACAATGGTCTGGTGCTCGATGCGAAGCTTCTCCACGCCGGCGCCGTAGAGCTCCCTCAGCAGACACATGATGCGAGTTTTCTTGCCCGCGCCTGAAGGACCATACACCAACAAGTGCGGGAAGTCGCCACATTGAACCTAAAAAAAAAAAAAACCCAAACACGTACCGTACAGTTCGTGCTGAATACTAACAGTCATAACATTGTTCTAAAGCGTCCGATTGTGTGTAATAGCTTAGCAGCTAAGCTATTACGATAAGGCATAACTTGTGTTAATCTATTCGCCATTCTCACCAGGTTCTTGAGTTGAGAAGCTTGCTCTTGGTGGTAGTCGAGTTTACCGAGGGACGTGGGTCGGTATTTGTCCACCCACAAGCTCATTTTCGTGCGACGTCGGCGGATGCGCTTCTTTGACAGCAAGTTGAAAAGTCTTCCCGCGGAATGTTTTGTTGTCCACGCCGCGACTTCCGCTTCTGCTACGGAAAAGCAGAAGAGTCAAATTGAAATCACGACACGCCAGAGCTAAATTACTTTTGCTAGATTGGTCACTATTATACATGAATACAAGATACAGAACAATACGTGTGGTGTTATGGAACAGTATTAAAATTCCTTGTGGTGCCACACAGGGAAGTATTTGTTGCAATTTTGGCTTTCTTGATGTAAATAATCACCCCCCCCACCCCACACACACACACACACACACACACACACACACACACACACACACACACACACACACACACACACACTTAAATGCAGTTGTGGACAGCAGGGGTCAGCACCGTATTTAAAAAGAGTGGCCAACTTAATTCTCCGCTTTCCGCCGTTCTGGACACTGATTAGTTGTAAGTGGTCGGTGATTTCCCAGGCGCCATATTGCAGCTCATTTAAGCAGAAATCGATTTCTTCTGGTGAATGTTTCATCATTCTTTGGGGAACAAAAATGGACACATGCATGGCTATCGGACGTCACATGCAAAGTGGCAAAGAGTAAAGCTCTACAGATTTCCCTGTGATGCTAAGATACGGAAAGTATATCACCAGGATGTTTGGAAAACAAATGAAAACTTATTCACTCTGATGTAATTAAGATGACAAGTAACAATGACAATGACAAACAATGAATAAAAATCACTAGACAAGACATGAGTTAGTATAGCTGCGTATAATGTTACGTGATTTACAATAATAGAAAATATACTATTTGGGAGTGAAACCACAGCTTCATTTTTTGATGAACACTAGGGCCTTCTACACAACTGTATTTTAATATTTCTCAATATACTTATATATTTTTTTCAGTGTTTGTTGTAAAAACAAAAAGAAGCAAGAATCCTATATTTCAAAGCTGTCGAATACAAGAGGCAGCAGTAGCAGAAATCAACGTTTGGCTCCTCCTTGTCGGTTCACTTGAGATTAAAAGATGACCTTCAAGAGAACCTTGTTAATATTTCAACGTCATCCTCTCACACTGAAAGAAGTGTGTGTTAGAGTGTGAGTGTGTGTGAGTGCACTGCAACTAAAAGCCATGTCCCTGCATCTTCCCTGAGAGTAAAAATAGCCCCCCAGAAGCTACATGCAGCATGTGTGCAGGAATGTGAGCAGCACACAGGAAATATCTGTCCTGTTGTGACCCAAAGTGGTCAACATGATGACTTTGGGAAATGAGGAGGCACAAGAAAAGGGGAGTGTTTATATTTATACGATGCGTGTGTGTCCACAAAGGGCGTCTGTGTGACGCTATCAGCCTCTGGGAGTCCCCAATTGGACCAAACAAAGCAGAGTGTTCATTTCCTGAACAAACGCCTCACAGTGTGCCACCATTGGGTGGAGCGCCTTCAAATTCATAGCGCTGCGCTCCTTCAGACTGTTGCCCTTTAGCATGGATCCTCTGTTTTATGACAACACTAATACTGTTCATTATAATTATAACTATGACTGCTCTCAGTCATCACACATGGTAATCCACAAAGGTCGAGACAACTGGACTCTTTTGGTTTGTTAAACGTGTTGTGTTTCTTCTTGTTTTTTGTAAAAAAAAAAGGACTTATTAGGCCATATTTGTCAATCAGAAGCACGAAGAAAGTAATTTATGGAAAAGATAAAAGGAAGGAAATTGAATTGTCACATGAATTATTTATTTTTCACCCAGTGATGTGTAGTGTCAGCAGGGGGCGCTGTGGTCAGGCGTGCAGTCTATTGCGTTGTCAAGGTGGTTGTCATTGTGTTTAATTAAAAGTCATGGTTAGCATGTTTGCCTCGCTCTTGAATCGTGCACGTCTATTGTCCATGCAAAGGCTAAGAACCACGGCGCGCCGCTCAAACCGCGTCCTTTTAAAGGTTTGTTGCACATTTTTCTTGACTCGTTTATGCTGAGCTCGTCAATGTACGAACCTCAGCTCGCTCTTAAATTGACCGCGCACCACACCGGGAAGCCTCATAAAATTCTATTAATTGTGTTCGGCTCAATGCCAGCGACTGGCTGGCCGGGGGAGCTATTTTAGCTGCGCGTTTCACATACTCGTTTAGTTCAATGTGAACTTCGTGGTTGAGATGGGTGAGAACTTGATTTGTAATATGACACAAAATGGCTCAGAGTCTGCCATTTTGGTAGAAAGCTGCCATTTTAGCATCAACAACTAAATTGGCACCTCAAGGTAAGCAAACGTCTTGGACATTCAGCTCCCAAAGGCAGTTTCATTTGACAACATGAAATTTTTGTCGACGTGTCCACCATGAGTAGACACACACACACACACACACACACACACACAAAGCCTCAAACGCAAGTCAAAAGCATTTCCCATTTTAGTTTAAAGAAGCCCTGTTTTTGTCTTTTTTGGGGGGGGTGGATGGACAGCGCCAAATGCCTCACACTTGTGTTGCTATACTTGCTTTGTGTGTTTGTTTTTACCACAGGCAGCAGCCAGGACCACCAGTACCTCGACAGGTAAAAATCTGTGTGTGTGTGTGTGTGTGTGTGTGTGAGTGATTTTGTTAGACTGTTTGCATTCCTCCTTTAGGATAAAAGCGTCTTTCTGGGAAGAATCTCAAACGATTCTGAGCGAGTCAGTCTGTCAGGCATCACCAACCACCCAGAAGTCATGATATACTGTTTTGACTAGACACACACACACACACACACACACACACACACACATTCAATTTAAAAACTCTGAACTCCGGCTGGCCTTCTGGGCCTCATTACCCACTCTGCGCCTCTCCACCCCGCACTATCGCAAACAGTAACATGAGCTACACGTGCACACTAAACACACACACACACACACACACACACACACACACACACACACACACACACACACACACACACACACTCTCACACAAATTAGGGATTATAAAGACCACATCATCATTATCCATCAGGGTACAAGTCTACCAACCTGAAAACCCACAAGTAAAAAAAAAAAAAAAAAAAATACAAAGCTGGAAAACCTAGCCACTTGAGCTAGCATGACTTCTCACAACAAGGGACATATGCATGAACACAGCATTACTGTATATTAGAGATTGTGTTAATGTGTCACTGTCAGTTGTCATCTTCCACTCAAGGTATGTGTGTCTATATTCGCATTTCTGAGACCGCGCGGGCTGCCGCCACACTGCCATCTTGGGCCTGTGAGTGAGTGTAAAAATACCACCTATGAGAGGCGCAAATAAACATTCTGGAGTGGGAAAACAAAAGCCATGAATGGCCGCAGAAACACACACTCTCTCGCTCAACTTTTTTTAGCTTAAAGAATTGTAACTTGTTAACCTTGAAGGTTTTTAGCTTGTTTCCTTTTTGGCATTTCATCTTATTTCCTTTCCACTCTATAGAATTGCAGCCGATTAACATTTTAGCCAAAGACTCCACATTTTTAATCACGAGAGAGAGCCTTTAGAGGGGGTGTGAAATTTATGGATTGGTTCCATTTAGGGCTCATCATTTTGTACCCAAAGTTTGGCTTCATCTCATCATCCAGAAAATGGATGCAGGGATCCATGATGTCCAAACGGGCCAGAGCCATCCGCCACCACCTCGTCGTCGTTTTTTTTAAGGTTACTGGAGAGATTGAGGGGTTCTGCTGACCCACTTTTCCTCCAAACCATTTTTTAAATTCCGGAATTCCACGCCGCTTGTCAGGGATGCTTCTGCTGACTTGGACCAAGATGCGCAGACGATGAGCACAGTAAGAGTAAAAGTGTGTCTGCGTGACGCTCCTGCAGACAGGGGAGGAAAACGAGAACAGCTTCCAACCTCCTCGGAAAGTCGAACGCTCTTTTCGTCTTCATGCATTTTAAATCTGATTTGTTGACTACGATAAGCCTGTATTAGAATCCGATATAGTGAGATGCGTGTCGCCCCCCCCCAAAAAAAAATACACATACTTTACAGTCAGTCCATTATTAATAGATACTGTATATACATTGAAGTGAAAGTGAAGAGCAACAAGAATAGCAGTGTTGTATGTAGGGAAAAAAAAGTATCAAGTAGATACTGTCATAGTTAAGAGTGTGTGTAATTTTTTGGAATGTAGGTCAAGGTGAGTCCCATCTGCTCCTTCAATTTAACGTGAATGTTTTCCACTCGCTGCACACAGCACATCCATCCTGTGCGCGTGCCCGTGCGTGTGTGTGGTGTGACGAATGCGTTGCGTGAGCGATGCCCAAAATAGACGCCGGCCAGCATAGATGAAGATGAAGAAGAGTCCTGAGATCGGGTGCAGACATTTTTCCAATGCAGGGGTGTGGTCTGGACCAGCATTTGGTCATATGAATCTATGAATAATAATAATGAGGATGACGGTTATGAACTCGCTAACCTGGACGCACGTGCAGCTGCTGCCTCGCCTCAAAACAAAAGTATTGGATTACGTTTCACAGCCAATCAGGAATCAATCGAGAAGTTACCTTAGCATCCCAAGCGCAGCGTTTGCGTGAATGAGTGGTCAAAAGTATTGGGACACACCCCACCGTGCCTAGTTTAGAGTGCAAGAGCAAATGTGGCATATGTTCATTTGGATACTCGATCCTGGTCATGAACTTTGCAGTGCATCCTGGGTGAAGAACTTGGAGAATGCCGGCTCGGTACCAAGGGTGACGGCAAAACAGTACGCCGACGAGCTGAGAAGCGGTCCTGGCATTTCCAGGATGGATTCCTCTGAATAACCCGGCAGCTCGGCATGACAGCCACCAAAATTAGCCCCCCCCCCACCCCATGCTCAAGTTTGATGCCTCTCCATAAGACAGGAAACTCCAATAAATCATTTTATGCAAGCTTCGGGTTCGACCTAAAATGTGCGATGACGTGAATCATGGCGCCCTCTACGGGCAGAGTAGTGATACAAAATGTACACTTTTGAATTTGACATTTTAATCCCACCGCTTCTTTGTTTTTATTTGTGTATTTTCGGCTAATGACTTTCTTTTGATTGGTGACAAAAAATATCCTGATTTCGACGTGTTTTTAGCGCCACC